TCCCGCAACGGTCTTCAGAGTAGGCTGGGTTACTTGGAACCCTTGTAGACTTGGAAACTCTGTTTGCTTTCCTTCCCGAAGGATCCACACCACCAGGGGTCAGGCAGCCCCTTCTCACTGATTCTTTCTTTCTTTCTTTTTTTTTTTTGGAGATGGAGTCTCGCTCTGCCTCCCAGGCTGGAGTTCAGTGGCGTGATCTCGGCTCACTGCAACTTCTGCCTCCTGGCTTCAAGCAATTTTCTTGTCTCACCTCTGGAGTAGCTGGGATTACAGGTGTGTGCCACCATGTCCCGCTAATTTTTGTGTTATTAGTAGAGACAGGGTGTCATTATGTTGGCCAGGCTGATCTCAAACTCCTGACCTCAGGTGATCTGCCCACCTCTCAAAGTGCTGGGATTTCAGGCTGAGCCACCATGCCCGGCTTCATTGATTCTTAAAGCAGGAAGGGTCTCACATCTCTCTTCCAGTATAATAGAGCTTCTGAGGGTAGCTGCCTTCATTGTCTATAGGAGGAGGCCCCACCCCCTAAATGGTTTTGATCATATTCTTTCTGAACATTAAAGCAATTGGCTCACGCTTAAATTGCAGCTACCTTGATTATCTCCAGAGGAAGAGTGGCCTTTAATACTCCAAACGTTTGTCGTCTTTATTATTATTTTTGAGACAGAATCTTGCTCAGCCACCCAGCTGCAGTGCAGTGGCATGATCGGCTGAGTGCAACTCTGCCTCCCGGGCTGGAGCGATTCTCATGCCTCAGTAGCTGGGAATACAGGTGTGCACCACCACACCTGGCTAATTTTTGCATTTTTAGTAAAGATGGGGTGACACCATGTTGGCCAGGCTGGTCTTGAACTTCTGACCTCCTCCCACCTTGGCTTCCCAAAGTGCTGAGATTACAGGCATGAACCACCGTGCCTGGCCGTTTATCCTCTCAAGGATGGTCAGGGTGGCATTTTGGTGTCTTTCTCTCTAGTCCTGAGAAAGCATAAGTTATATCTTTAGTGGGACTTCTTACCATAGGATTAATAATAGTATTTACCTTAGAAGATTATAATTAGAAAGAAATGACATAATACTTGTAATAAATTAGCATGGTGTTCACATTTGTTGGTTTTAATTATTACACTGATAATTCTGGTGGGAATTAAGCACATCATTATAATCACATAAACTCAAAGCAAGAATCAGAAATCCATGGTGACCTTGAGGGCCATCAAAAGTCATAGACACCGTGCACAGCTTTCCGATTTTTCTAGTCTTTTTCTTGCTCCTTCCCCTACTTTCCCCCGAGTTTGGTCCTCTATGATTTAGGACTACTAGTAGGGTGACCAGTCCTATTAGCTGAGTTTGCATTGAGCTGAGGGATTCTTGGAAGGAACGTGGGACTTTCAGTGTTGACATTGAGAAAGTCTCCTGAAAATGAGGACAAGTTGGTAACCCTAATCCCAGCGGTGCTCATCACATGCCTCAGCACTCCAGGGCCTTCTGAATTAAAGAAGCAGCCAGGCAAAGTGTCAGCTTGTCTTGGCCTAGAAGCCCAGACCTGATAATTCAGAAGAAAAGGGAAGGGGTCAGTTCTGCTCTCAACTGTGTATAAAGGGACAAAACTCACCATGTGTATTTCAACAATGCTCTTGGAAGAAATTCAGAAGTGGTCATTTTAGGTTAGGGTAAATTCAGAAAAATGACAGAGTCAGGAAAACATTATCCCAGGGGTCAAGGATGACTCGAGCTCTGCCTACTGAACTCCTCCTTGTGCCAGTCTTGCTAATGCTATCTTCAGGGAGAGTTTTCGTTAGAAAATACCATTAAGGGTAAAACGTGGTGGCTCACACATGTAGTCCTAGCTCTTTGGGAGGCCAAGGCAGGTGAATCCCCTGAGGCCAGGAGTTTGAGACCAGCCTGGCCAACATGGTGAAACCCTGTCTTTACTAAAACTATAAAACTTACTCCTGTGTGGTGGTGCACACTTACAATACCAGCTACTCAGGAGGCTGAGGCAGGAGAATCATTTGAATCCAGGAGGTGGAGGTTGCAGTGAACCGAGTTCACATCACCACACTCCAGCCTGTGTCTCAAAAATAAAAACCAAAACCAAAACAAAAATAGACTATTAACATTCTTTAGTTGTGAGAAGATATAAAAATTTCCATCTTAACCATTTTACGTATATAGTTCAGTCACGTCGAAGTACATTCACATTGTCATGCAACCATCACCACCATCCATCTTCAGAACCCTTTTCATCTTGCACAGTCTAAACCCTTTGCTCATTAAATACCTCCCTATTCCCTCCCTCCCCACAGCCTCTGGCAGCCACCATCCTACTTTTTGTCTCTATGAATTTGACTGCTCTGAGTACCTCATATGACTGGTATCAGACAGTATTTGTCTTTTTGTGACTGGCTCCTGAGAAACACTTTTGAGATGACTGGTTGGAATTCGGAGCAGGTGGCACCACAACTGGCCCAGGCCTCTCATCTCCTTTTTCTCCTTTTTCCCTGTTCCACCAATACAACAGCTGTGGACACAAGGATCTCATCTCTGCGGTCCCTAACGCAGTGGTTATCAACCTTGTTTACACATTAGAATCACCTGGGAAAGTTTTCAAACGACTCTTGCCTGAACCAGATTCCAGGCTAATTACATCAGAATCTCAGTGAGTGAGGTCTTACGTGTGCATCGTTTAGAAAACACCCTAGACATCTCAAATTTGCACCGGAAATTGCTGTCCATACCAAGTTGATGAGCTGAAAAGTAGAATAACAGTGGGTAAATCAAAAGAGTTTAAAGTAGATGGTCTTTAAGGTCTTTTTATATTCGAAAATGTGCAAAGTCATGTAGTATCTTTCTAATTCTCAACCAGCAGTGGTTGAGTGGATTCACCTACACCCGAGGGGATCTGGGTGGACACTCTCTGGAGTGTTGCTCCCCCTGCAGTTCAGTTATATGTTACGACCACCCCACTTTAGAACCCTCTTAGTCACCCAGGTAGGCGCTGGACATTGTCATTCCCCTGTCACGTGCAGTCAACAAATACTTACAAAGATGGGTCACCTTTCCTTTAAAAACACGCAAGCCAAGAGATAATGATAATTGTGTTCATTCCATTGACTTCTAAAGACCGTGAGATTTCTAAATAATTTTAAGGCCGAATGAAGGACATTGCAGGAATATTGATTCCAGCTCCGTACAAGAAATAGTTTTCTACAGTGAGAGTGGTTTAATAGAATGAGGAGCCTTGTGAAAGTGATTCCTTTGGTTCTAGTGCTACACACTTGTATTTGGAATATTGACTTTAATGGATGCCGGAGGATAAGATTCCCAAAGTAGAAGAAACTAGACTGACTTATGAGGCCCTTCTAACTCCAAAATGCCATGAGTTTAAAGCCAGATAGTAGAAGAACGACGTAAGATGCAAGAATGACTTCTGAACTGAGAAATGCAGCAGCTCCAGAGTTCTGATTATTTCAGCTTTCAACCACTTCCCAAAGACTGAATTATTAACTGTAAAATAGCCAAAAATGAACACAAGTGGATCTTGTTATCAAGAAAATTTATTATAGCAATAAGAATCAGAACTTCTAAAGAAGATTAATTAGGGGGTTGATTTTTTGCATTGCAGAATAATTCCTGACTTCGTGAAATCATTTTTGGATATTAGAGTTCCTGTGAGCCTCTTAGTATGGATTTATAGGTCACCAGTCACTTAGCCAAAGTGCTTGGGAGAGTAAACTCTTAACTTTAAAGAACTAACCACGCTCTTTAGTGCTTATTTGGAAATAACAAACATCTGAGAAGTTTATTATTTCCTAATTGCCAAAGAAAACAATATAATTTCACAGCAGGTATTTAGACCCTCCATTAGAAAACACAAAACATCCAAAAATTCAATGCAGAAATAACTACAATTTCTTGAGTACTATAATATGTCAAAATGTCATGGTGTTTAATCCTCTCATAATCCTAGTAAAGCAATATATTATTATCTCAGCTTGGTCAAGTAATTTACTCAAGAGCACTAAATTACATAAAAACCAAATTTTTCTGATTCTTTCCCTTACACCAAATTCCCCAATCAGCATCTCTCAGAACAAACTTGCTCACAGACAGCTTGGAGACCATGTGTGTTTGGGTTAATTTTTGCCCTTATTATATTTTCGATATGTGTTTCCAATGTTTAAATGTTAGATTTTTTGTATAAGTCTGGATGTCCTAGCTGTCTTAAAGAATCAGAAGGTCTGGAAGCCCTGTCCCTGCAGTCCTGATGGTGACAGGCTGGCTGGGTCCTACCTCAGCAGGGGCTTAAGTGCTGCAGATTGTGCTAGTTCTCACCCCTCTGTGTTGCATCCACCAAAGGAAAGCGAGTGTCATCTGGGATTTATCCTATTCCATCCAACCCTCATTGCTTACGTTGTTATCTTCCTGGTACCTGTTGTCACTGCATTTGCAACCCCAAATAAAATCTCTCTTCCACTTTCCTTGTCCTAATTGAGATCCCAAATGCTCTGGTTCTGTATGTCTCCAACTCATTTTTGCATTGTTCTCATAAAAGTAGTTGGGCTTAAGGAATATTGATCTTAAAGTTGTTCTGCACACAAGTAATTCTATTATATTGTTTCCTCACCTGTTGGGAAGTTTTTGCCTCTGCACTTAATAACCCATGTTGTTTTCATTTCTTCCCACTCCTGGGGGGCCAGGTTTGGTTTTGCTCGTGATGGTGGGGGAGGAAGAAATGCCTTCAAGTCATCTCTGGGATGACCATTGAGCTATGACCAGTGAGCTGGGACAACTGACCTGGTGGAATGGCCTTAGTGAGTAACAGACTGCAGTGATGTGTCAGCTTTCTTATGGCACAGGAACAACCAAATCTCTTATATTTCAGTGGCCTGGTTCCCAATAGACCCTGTAGGCCCTACAGGTCGTCTTCCCCAGCTGCCCCTTGCTTCACACCACTACCTTCCACCCCATAATATTATAGAAGGACACCTAGTCAGACAAAATAATACAACTTAATTTTATTAGGACAAGGCTGGTGGGCACTGGAGTGGCACCTTCCGGGGCCAGGAGAGGCACTGGGGAGGGGTCACAGGATGCCACATGGGCACCTAGAAGCCACAGCTGCCCTCCACAGTGCGGCACTGCACCATGCGCAGGAATGTCTCGACCATATCCATGTCCTTCCTGAAGCAGTGGAGCAGCCCGTAGTTCTTGAGCAGTGAGTCATCGTTCTGTGAGTGTGCGTCAAACTTGCTGTAGGTCTGCTTGAAGATGTGCCCAGTCCGGGGGATGCCATCTTCCAGCCTCTGCAAAGTGAAGAAAGAGAAGGAGAGGCTGAGCGCTTGGTCACTGTTCCCTCCCTCCCTCTCTCATTCATTCATTTTCCTCCCTCCCCTTCAGGGTGTAGAGAAAGACCTGGAGGATTCACGAGAGGAAATGAAGACTAAGGTGAGTTCTCTTGGGTCAGGGCCTGACTGCTAAAAAGAGGGCAGCAGTGTTTCTCTCCCCCAGCCCTTGAAGCCAGTGGGGTTCCAGGATTTGGGACCCCTGGTGCCATCCTCACCCACATCAACGTTTCGATGCCTTCCTCTAGGTCCTTTAGGAGGTCATGGACGTCGCTGTCCGAGGTGTGATGCAACAGGTTGTTGGCAAACACACTACTGAGGAACTGCACGGGCTCCAGCCACGACTGGATGAGCAGCAGGGAGATGCGGAGCAGCTCTAGGTTCTGCAGGGGAAGGACACGCAGTGGCTGTGCTGCCCGGGGGCTCTGACCACAGGCCTCCCCCATCCCTGCCTTGGGGAGAAGGTATCCACTCACGGATTTCTGCTGCGTTTCCTCCAAGTTGGAGGGTGTGGGAATAGAGTCTGCGAAGCAGAAGGAGGCCTGGGGGTTCTCCATGAGCGAATGCTTCTTTTCCTTTGGGATATAGGCTTCTTCCTAGAAGGACCCCCCCCACCAAGAGGGACTGCTGGTCTCTATGCTGGAGACCAGCTCCCATTGTTACTTCTCTGAGAACCTTGCTCAGTGTATGCTCATCTGCCGGCATTTTCGCTTCAGAAAACAACCCTGAGCTCCTTAGTCTCCTCCCATGACTTCCCAGGGGGGGAAAGTCACCCCTTCTTGCCACCCCTGACATGCACCCATTCCCCAAGAGCTTACAAACTCCTGGTAGGTGTCAAAGGCCAGTTGGTGCAGGCGATGGGCTTGGATCATAGCATGGTCAAAAAGTCTGGATAAGGGTACGCTTGGGACCCTACCAGCCTCCTGAAGCCAAGGCAGGCAGAGGAGGGCAAAAACCAGGAGCAGGGATGTCCGGGAGCCTGGGGAGAAACCGGAGGGCAACGGAGGGAGCCAGAGAGCAAGAGGCCAGTGCTCTCCCTGCCCCAGGAGCTGTTTGTTTTTCTCTCTCTATCCCTCCAGGGACCAGGAACATTGTGAGATCGGCCAAATATCTGGGCTTAGATGGCGATACTCACATTCAGAAGCCCCAAACCTGAGGGTTAGTTTCCCCGTCCCATCTACAGGGCTCAGCCTCTTCCTTCAGGACACATCGTGCAGAAATGGATTTTAGGGGCGCTTACCTGCAGCCATTGCAGCTAGGTGGGCTGTCCACAGGACCCTGAGTGGTTCGGGGAGTTGGGCCTTGGGATCCTGGAGCTGGTCTCTTGTGGGCCCTTTTTATACCCTGGCCCCTTATCTCTTGCTGCTTGACCCCGCCTATTTCTCTGTACGTTTACGCATGGGGCCACTGACGTGCCTGTGCTAGTGGCTAATTTAGAAACTCCTCCCACACATGCTGGGATCATGCCCCCTGGGTTGTCATCTTTCCCTTCCCACGGTCACCAATATTGTGAGGGTTGTGCAGAGGGTCAGCCAGCGATACCACCCAACTTGTCCTCTCTTTAAGGGTCATGTGGGTGTCCTCTGGCAGCACGCCATGGTGGCCAACCTGAACGTGGGGAAGGATGTCAGGATAGCCAGTCCTTGAGACCCCTACAGACCCCATCCCACTCTCTATCCTATCCCTTTCCTCCGTCCCCCATGTTTCCCCTCCACACAGCAGAGAGAATGTGTGTGTTGGGAAAAGGGCCCAAGCGCAGGCAATAGATTGTGGGGGTTCTGGGCACCATTCAGTCTTCAATGGCACTTTTGCTGATTCCTTCCGGGCCCGCCTGAGGCAGCTGGATGCAGTGCTAACACTGACCACTAGAGGGAACCAACCCCACACTTTGCTCTCCCCTTTCCCTGAGTCTTGGGGGCTCCCCCAGGTCCCTGGGGAGGAAGAACCCAGACTCGAGGTATTGCCCCAGCTCCTTGGACCTGCAGCAGAGATACAAACCAAGAAACAGAAATCCCGGGGACAGACACGGACCACAAGCGCTTCGTCTATGCCCAGAAATCATCAGAGTATCTGAAAGTTTTAAGAGCTCTTGAAGGTTTGATACTCTTCCCCAGCTTTGGAACTCAGAACAGGTCACGCGGAAAGATGCCCTGGATAAAAAAAAAAAAAAAAAAGTCCTCTCTCCAGAGCAGGTAGTGTGGTGCTACTCAGTTATTTAGTTATTTTAGTTTTTTTATTTCAGTTTTATTTATTTTATTTTCTTTGAGATGGAGTCTCATTCTGTTGCCCAGGCTGGAGTGCAGTGGCATGATCTTGCCTCATTGCAACCTTCACCTCCTGGGTTCAAGTGATTCTCCCTCCTCAGCCTCCCTAGTAGCTGGGATTACAGGCGCCCACCACTATGCCGGGCACTTTGTACTTTTAGTAAAGACGGGGTTTCAGTATGTTGGCCAGGCTGGTCTCAAACTCTTGAGTTTAGGTGATCCACCCTCCCTGGCCTCCCAAAATACTGAGATCACTGGCGCAAGCCACAGCTCCCAACCCAGTAATTTCAGCTTCTAAATCCCTCTGAGTGCAGGGATTCTGCCCGCAACACAAGGGGCCTTTTGCCTCATTTTGTCTTTCCATGAGGGGCAGATTGTTCTTTCTCTATTCTCAGGTGAGAATGGCCCAGTGGCATGGGGTGCCTTGTAGAAACCTCACAGCAGGACAAGGCGAAGGAAGAGAAGGCCAGGACTGAGCCTCCTGTCTCCTGGTGCCCAGAGTTGGGGCTATTTCAATACCATCTGGAGGTCACAAGCATCAGATGCCCCCAGAGGTGAGAGCAGGAAAGAACATCCTCACGGGCACTGAAATCATCCCCCGCTGAGTTTAAGAGCATCTAGCACTTGACGCTGTAGAAACACAAGGAAGGAAGCAAGGAAACGCTTCTAGAAGTGGTTGGCTGTGGTGTTGGCAACCAACATTGAAAACCCACAGCCCTGTGGCCCAGGATGTGAATACTGGGGCCCTGCCGTCTCCCCTCTTTCAGAGCAGAAGACAGACCTCCTTTTTCTGCCGTCATTCCCGAAGCATTACCCGACCAGCAGCCCAGACTCATCATCTGCTGGGAGGGCCCTGGGCTGTGGGCTGTTCTCCAGGCAGGGCTGCAAGAGGGTCCAAGAGGGGTGTCATCAATGATACCAGTTCTGAGAAAGCTGGGGCCCAGGGAGGGTGGAGACACCACTTTCCCCATTCTCCTTCCAGCACCAGCAAAGAGGAGGAGCCAGGTGGGAATGGAGGAGGGTCCCTGATCTCCATGTAGCTTCTGCCTCCCCCACCATCCTTCCTCCAATGTGAATTGGGACAGACGGCACCCCATGACAGGGTCTTTTAGCCAGTGTTGGGGACTTAGATGTGGATTTTCGGCCATGGAAGAAGTCTCCAGCCTCCCTTAGGAATGAGCCCTAGCAGGGGCCCTAACTGGGGATCACTGCACAACTCCGCAGATAGGCACAGGGCTGGTGAGGCTCCCTAGACGGGTTACTGCCAGGAACACGTGGGAGCAGCCAGGGCAGGTGAGTGTCTCCTCTCATCTATCCGTTTGTTTTACCACAGAGTTATGGTGACTCAGAGGACTCCAGGGACTCCTGGGGAAACAACTTTACAAAGGATTACCACAGCAACCATGGACCAGAGGGAAGAGCTGAGCCCCCCAGGTGTGGGTAGAAGTCGGTGATCCTTTTCTCTAGTCTACATTTTCCCAGGGCCTTGAGCAATGGAGACCTTGTCCATCATTCATTGCTAGTAAAAAATCAACATTGAATTAGACTTGGATTTTCCTGACAGTCCCGGGAAGTGGCCCACTGTTGGGGCATCACTTGGGGCCAGATCCCTGGCTCCTGCAGGCTGAGAGACTACCGAACAAGGGCCTCCTCATGGTCAGTCAGGAGAGGCTGGGTTTCCCACCACTGGTTTCAGCTTCAAAAGGCTCAGGATAGGCCGGGCATGGTGGCTTACACCTGTAATCCCTCCACTTTGGGAGGCCAAGGTGGGTGGATCATGAGGTCAGGAGTTCAAGACCAACCGGGCCAAGATGGCGAAATCACGTCTGTATTAAAAATACAAAAATTAGCCGGGCATGGTGGCAGGTGCCTGCAATCCCAGCTACTCAGGAGGCTGAGGCAGGGAATTGCTTGAACCCGCGAGGTGGAGGTTGCAGGGAGCCGAGATCACGCTACTGCACTCCAGCCTTGGAGACAGAGTGAGACTCTGTATCAAAAACAAAAACAAAAACAAAAGCTCAGGATAATCTCACAGGCATCTTGGTTCTTTTAAAGAACCTCCCTTTATAATTTAGGATTAATGAATTTCTCTGTGTGTTTGGAAGCCCTTCCTATGTCCAACCTTGACTAACTTTAGGGTTCTGTGTGCCTGCTGTGGAAAGTCGCAGATCTGCTGTTGATCCTAAAGTGGTGTCTTTCAGGCTTTGAGACCTCCTGTTAGGTTCAAGACTGTGGGGTTGAGGACAATCACATTTTTCGAAGCCATACTCACCGGGTCTTAGGAATCGCCTCCAAGGGACTGGTGGGTGCTCCTTCCACTCCCACTTTGGTGATTTGTGGCGCACACTTCCCACCTGCAGCTCTGTTCTTTCTTCTTTGAGATCAGAGGCTGTTTATCGTACTGGGACATACTCTACCTCCTTTTGGCTTCTAATATCCTTTCTCTGAGTTTGGTACCGAGTCAATTACTCAGCTCATTGGATTAAGGTCTTCAGGGAATATTACGTGGGGATTCCCAAGGGCTCTCCTAGGGGAGGTGAGGAAGATGATCAATACTTCTGCGTGTCCACCATGTGCTTGGGACTCTACTGAGCCATAGGGATGTGAGTGAGGATACTGAGGCTCAAAGAGATCAGGTGACTTGCCTGGAGTTCTCCCACTATCCAAGGCCTATCCAAGGCCCCCAGGCTTTCTTTCCATGCCAAGATCTTTAGAAACCTCATCTAGTAATGATGGTGGCACTACTAGGCATGGACAGAGCTTGCCTCAGTGCAAAGCTAGCAGGACAGGGGTCAAGTCCCTGCACAGAGGATGTTCCATGAAGATGGGGGGAATTGAACACGAGGAATTCAGCAGCAGAATGAGGTGTCCATAGGCATTAAGGAAAGTGGTAGAAAACAACCACCCAGTGTAGCTCGGTTTAGTGAACCGAGGCACATCATGCTGCCTATTTGTATTGCACGTTTCAGTGTACATCGTGTTTCACTTCCTGTATCTCGTTGGACCCTTAAGCTTGCCACATGATATGGCCGGGGGGTTCAGGCACAGAGGGGGGTTCAGGCACGGAGAAAGGGCCTCAGAAGGCTTGGGGAGGAGAGGGGCAGGTACTGTTGTGTGTTGATGGGGTATTGTTTGCACTGGTTGATGATCTCTGAACAACCAAGAAGTACATAACGATCTACCTAACCGGACGTGCTAAGTAATTTCACTTTGGGGATGATTCTCCAGGGAGACAATCCATTGATAGAGAAGTGAAAAGCATCAAGATGTGTCTAGTAGTTGTAGGAAGTCTGGGGTGCTTTCCTGATGGGGTGCCGTCAGCTGGAAATAGCCTCTCCTTCCTTTGACCTGTCCTGTGGCTATTTGCAGATATTTTGTTCCTCTTACCAGACTGTAAGCTCTTTGAGGCTGGATTTCTGCCTTTCGTCCATTCATTCATTCACTCATTCTTCTATTCATGCATTCACTGATTCCACAAGTTGTTGTTGCCTATAACATGTACCAGAGATTGTACCAGGCAGATGGGCATATCTAGATAAACAAAACACATGATCCTTTCTCTTCTGGAGCTAACAATCTACTGGCCGCAGAGATAATAGCAAAAAAGTAAATATAAAATAGTAAAAATAGAAATTTCGAATAGAGAACAGTCCCATGAGGAAAATAGGTAAGATATGGAGGGAGAGAATAAGCCAGAAGGTGATGGGACGAGGCAGCTGGCACAACCCCAGGCCCAGGAATTCAACAAGCATCTAGTAGGTGGACCCAGCACATGAGAGGACAGTGCCAAGCAAAGAAGTCAAATGTCTACTAGGCTGGGCATGGCCAGGTCGCCCATGTTGTGTTGGACGTCCTCCTGCTGGTATAATTATTTTAAAATAACAGGACAAGGAAGGGTGCCGTGGCTCATGCCTGTGATCCCAGCAATTTGGGAGGCCGAGGTGGGTGGATCACCAGAGGTCAGGAGTTGGAGACCAGCCTGGCCAACATGGTGAAACTCTGTCTCTTCCAAAAATACAAAAATTAGCTGAGCCTGGTCATGCATGTCTGGAATTCCAACAACTCGGGAGACTGAGGCAGGAGAATTGCCTGAACCCAGCAGGCGGAGGTTGCAGTGAGCCAAGAGGTGTCACTGCACTCCAGCCTGGTTCCCAATAGACCCTGCAGGCCCTACAGGTCATCTTCCCAACCTACTGCTTGCTCCATATCACCACCCTCATCCCCATGACATTATAGAAGGACACCTAGTCAGACAAAATGATGCAACTTAATTTTATTAGGACACATCTGGTGGGCACTGGAGTGGCACCTTCCATGGCCAGGATTGG